CCAAACGACCCATTTAATCAATGTCACCGTTATAAAAACATGTGTAAAATTTCTCTAGATAAAAATGATGATTGTATATGCCCTTAGTTAAGTTCAAGTGAGTTGGAGAGTTCTGAGTCATAAAAACTTATTATTATAAGGTATGAGTCTTGACCTTTACTGTACAAACCCTAACCTCCAATATTATACATACGCTTGGCGGATACATGGTGCTTTAGGCTAAAATTTGGGAAAACGATTATCAAACCGCTGGTAGTAGTTTTGTATGGATAAACAAAATATAATTAGTAATTCGGGACATCTCTAAAAATGGAAAAAATGATTATCTTACCCTCGATAGTAGTTTGCGTATGATAAAAAAATATTAGTGGTAGTCTGTGTTATTCAAACCTAGGACACTACTATTATTAAACATATTCTCCATTAGGTTATAACTCATGTGTTGTTCTATTTTAAACACTATGTAATAGTAAAGGCACGATTTCTTATCCCTGGAAGTACCCCTAATTTGAATTGATTTTATGGTTATACGGAGTGTTGAAAGAGTATTTTCAACTTTGAGTTATATCATAAACAAAGTTAGAAATTGAATATGCGATCAGTTTGTGAATTATCATCTAGTTGGATATACAGATTTGTTGAGCAGTATAGATACCGAATCTATTTAATATTTTTTTCAAAATATGTAAACACATCGTGACTTTTCGTTAAAATTTGTACTAATCGGTATTTTCTTATTTATGAATTATTTGATTTAATTTTTAGAAGATGACACCCCTACAAAAAAATTCTGGATCCGCCACTGCCAATACTACTATGATTTATTTTATAACCAAGGAACATCTTCACACACACACACCATATTTTGTGATGGCAGAGCAAGACCAAACCTAGGGCCACCTGCTGCACACTTACGCGCCAACGAGACTTCACCTCCAACATCCAAATATGCTTCCGAGAACACCACAACGGACCTCGAGAGCGAGAGGGTCGAACACGATATCTGCCCCTTCTCATTCCCGAAATAAGCGATCGCGAGGGTTTCACCACTAGACTACTTAACCTGTCGTAATAGTACTATGGTTAACCTCGACCAAACTGGTTAATTACGCCTTGTTGCTGCCTGCGTGGCTAGTTGACAGCATAAGGAAACGGAGAGTTGCCAACTAACAACAATGGCTGCCATTGCACGCGGCGGGCATGCAGCAGTTTAGCTATGCGGGGCACTGAAATTTTTGCCCTAGAAGAAGAATCAAAACAAAGAGACACATAACTAGTTTATATATATATATATATGCTGTTTTATCGGCCTATATTCTCTATATCTCTGACTAACTTAACTAGCTAGTTCATGTTGTTGTCCTTTCTGGCCAGTTCCTTTTGTAATTTTATATACACACATGTGGGTCATAATATGAAACTTGTTTCAGAGATTCTCTGTGACCGTACGTATGTAAGTATGTCTATAACACGAGCCCAATAATTCGTTTGTAGGCTCCACATGTTAGGCTGTTTTTAATTATCCTTTTTTTCTTGTTAATTATCATTTTTCTGTTCACATGTATCTCGATTCTCCATCGTAAAATTTATGTGTTGATATTACTTATAAAAATAAAAGTACTATCATATATATCCAAATATTTAATTATAAAAAAACATCCAAATATTTAAATGGTAAACAACAATCATGTAATGGTATAATCATCGGTAAATGGGCAAGTAATAGTTTGATCTAGTAATAATATCATTGATTTAATACATAAATGAGATTCAGCCAAGAAAATCATTATAGACTATTTGGTATAAAATGAATCGAGAATTTATTTCATTTTAAAATAAATTACCATGTAAAATTCATTGTCAAATAAATTCATGTATTTGGTAAGTCAAATTCAAATTTTTAGAAATTAAAAAAATTGAATTCTCATACCATGTTTGACGTACATTTAGAATTGAATTAAATTTAAAAATTCCAACTATACCCTTATTAATTTACGACAGAAAAAATATTCATTGAAAATCCATCTTTGACGTACATTTAATCCAATTATTTATTTCATTTTAAAATGAATTATCATGTAAAATTCATTGTAAAATGAATTCATGTATTTGGTAAGTCAAATTCAAATTTTTAGAAATAAAAATAATTTAATTCTCATACCATGTTTGACGTACATTTAGAATTGAATTAAATTAAAAATTTCCAACTACACCCTTATTAATTTATGACAGAAAAATATTCATTGAAAATCCATCTTCTAAAAAACTCATACGTAGAATATCAAAAGTTTTCTTGTGTATTTCTATTCTATTCATTAGTTACTTTTTAATATTTCGTCGATAAACCCTACACTCCAGTTGTGGCTTCTCAATATACTGATACAATCAAAGTATATCAACTAACCAACATATGATACTAACGTTGCAATCAAATTCTTGTCGACGTTCCTCATGCTGCATGAATTGGTGCCAAATAATATACGTAGAAGTAATTTTGTTAACAAACGAGGATAATTATGTCATTCTATTATAATTAGTAAATACTTGTAGAATTCATTTGAAAATTCCATCTCAATTCCTCGGAATTGCTATAACTAGTTCAAGTTCAGTAGAATTTAAAATTTAGAAGTGAAAATAAATTCTTTTAAATATCAAACACAAAAAAATTTCATTTCAAAATAAATTACTCAAAACTTATTGAATTGATTTAAAAACAAAAACTCATTCAAGTTCTACTGCGGCCCTTTTGTAGCTCTGACTGGGCTTTGCCCGAGCCCAAACCTCCAGGCTAAGAGAAAAATGGTAGCCGTGGGCCCAGTGACGGCACTCCAGCGAGGTAGTCCACGTGCGAGCGTGCAAACTAATAAGAGACAAGAGGCGCCGCATAAAATCCACTCTCAGCCCTCTGACAAAAAGGAATCCAACGGCTCCGGTTAAAAGTTAGTTACCCACCTCATCGGACGATGGAAGTTCAATAAAAAAGAATCCCCAAAATTGGAATAAACATCAGAAAATAATAAATCAAAAAGAAAATTAATTAATCCTAGTCCCCCCTGAAAACGAAAAAAGAACAGTTTCAATTTGAAGTTGAAAAGCAAAGGCAAAGCACTAAAAATTCTGTCTTTGCTCCTTTTTTTGTGGCTTACACCTTTTTCGATCTTTCGCTGAAAGGGAAGACGGAATCAATCATGAGAGCAAGGTTGTCAATCCGCGGGTTGACCCGGACCCGGTCGAGCTAGTGGGTCAAGAGTTAATGGGTCAACCATTTTAGCCCGGTTTGGCCCGAAAATATAGAAAGAGTCATTATATTGCACTTATCCTCATAAATTATATAAAATCTTATCTAACATATGAGTTATAACATATAATATTACACCAAAATAACATATCGTACTTAGATCCAACATATAGTGAAAATTCACACACACTTATATAACATAAATATTCAAATGTTCAACTTAGTATTCCAAAGATTGAGTTAGGCGAAAAGAAAAATTGGAAAATAGGCACATTTCGCAAACTAAAGAAAAAAATGACACAATTTGACCTCCAACCCGGTACCTAATAGCAGTCGGCCCGGCGGGTGCGTGCGGCCCGTTTTTCTCACCGGGTCAGGGTCAAATTGGGTCGACCCGTGGGTCAACCCGCGGGTTGACAACCATGCATGAGAGGAACAAAACTTCTAGCCACATCGTCGTCGGAGCTGGCGCCGGAGTCCAATGAGACGACTGTAAGTTGTTGCTCTCTACGCGGGGGATAACAACCCTAAGACCAACTCCAATCAAGCCCCCAAATTTGGGGTTCATCCCCATTTTTCCTTCTTTTGCTCCAATGCTACATCCTTTATATTTGGAGATCTCCATTTTTTAAGTTTCCATTTACTTAAAAATGTACTTATTGAAGCCTTAATATAATATGTTCATGTTAAATTTTGTATAATTCGTCATCATTTTTAAATAGAAATTTTCCGGTAGAAATTTTTTTAATTATGAGACCAAATTTTTGTTGACAAAAAATGATTGACCTAATTTGGGTTTACACAACACTTGAAAATTATTGATCTAATTAAACCCCTAACTAATCCCCTAATTAAACCCCAATTAACCCTTAAAATCTTAAAAATAAAAAGAAACGCCACGTGGCGGCCTTTGGGGAGTCTCTATATTTGGGGGAACCCCCATTTCCACCCCCAAATTTGGGGATCCTGTTGGAGATCTCCTCCAAATATAGAGACTACTCCATTTATAGAGGCTCCATTGGAGCCAACTTTCCCCCAAATATAGAGGCTCCCCCGTTTATAGAGACTCCATTGGAGTTAGCCTAATTGATGTTTCGCTTCTGCTCTGTTCTGCCGAATTTGTGGGGAGGAATGTTTTTTCGGTTTAGATTGGAGGGCATGAGTTGAGGACTTCGGGGGCGAATGTTTATGCAGGGAGGAAGAGACCCGAAAGAAAGTTGGGAACTTTTTATCTTACTCTATGTAGCTGCAATGGCAACTGCAAAAAGAACGGACACTCCTATTTTCCCTATTGTTCCTGCTTGCTGCTAGGGTATAGCCCTGCTTGTTTGGAAGCGAACGTAGTGTAGATAATCAACGCTACACCTTAGGAAAATGAAAGCTTCCTTGATCTTTGGCCAATATGAAGTTGATTATTTCTGTGCAAATTTGTTAGGATGGCTATTTATGCCTAAAAGTTCTATCCTTTTTGTTGTACTTTCCTTTGGAGGATAAGTAGAGTTGGTAGAGCTGTCCGTCTGGAATGTGTTTAGTTTAGGCTATTCAGAATCTGGACAGGGCCACATGGGTCATATCTGCCAGAGAGAGAACAGTTGGTTTATTTTTGTTTCTCGTTTATGAAGCATCAGAATGCGTCCATTTATTTTACCAAAAAAGAAAACGAATGCGTTCATTCATGAGTGTGTTTGATTCTTTAGTCATTTTTGGGGGCTTACTTACTGTAGGACTTCCAATGCTATTACAGATGCGGACTAAAAGGGCAATGGGATCCTTTTTTGATGTTCACAAGGCAGAAACATCGCAGCAGCCGTTAACAACTGCAACCCCATCATCATTGGATGTGCTGCGGGCTGAGTCCTCTCGACAGCATGTATCTGATGAACTTTGGGAAGATGGACTTCGTGACTATCTTGCTCATGCATCCAGTATCATGGTAGGAAGTAGAGAATTTGTCCACTTTGATATGCTTCTTCTATTTCTGATCTTCGTGCCTGTGATATGCTTCTGGTCATATGTCAGGAAAAGTTCAGTGATGTAGTCAACTGGTTAAAGGAAAATGCAGCCAAGGGAGGACCTGGTGCTGAATCTTCTGCCAGTGACAAAAAATCATCACTTGAAACTAATAAGAGAAATGAGAATAATTTATCTAACGAGAAAGCACCTTCTTTTGCTTCAACAAGTGCGAGCTTTACTACAGCTGCATGGCCATCTACCATATTCTCCAACAACCAAAGCTACGGAGTAGTGTCTGTTAGTAAAAATTCTGGCTCACTTCTGTCAAATAGCCAAAGCTCTGGAATGTTCTCTGGTAGCCAAAGCCTTGTCTTACCTCCAAACACTCAAACCTCTGGATTGTTATCGAGCAGTAGTACTGGGATTTTCTCAAATAGCAAGTTGGGATCCTTAGCCAACAATCAAAGTGCTGGTTTGTTCCCCAAAAATCAAACCCAAAGTTCCGGATTATTATCAAATAGTCAAGGTGCTGGCTTATTTTCAAATAGCCAAACCCCAACTATTGGGTCACTATCCAATAGCCAAGGTGGTAATCTATTCTCGAGTAGTTCCGGCCCTACATTGTTTTCAAACAGTCAAAGTACTGGGTTCTTTTCCAGCAGTCCAAGTAGTGGATTGTTTTCTGGGAGTCCAAGTTCTGTGGGAGGGTTTTCCAGCACGCCAGCTCCTATCTTGTTTGGTAAGTGGTGTGTGCCAGTTTGGAGTTGTTGTGTGCACCACTTTCTCCTTGAGACTCCTAAGGTGTTATTTCACGGCCTGTCAGTCAGTTGATGCGCAATATGACATATATTGTTCTTTTTGGATTTCAGGTGGTCAAAATTCAGCCACCCCAAACAATAATGCTTCAGATGAAGCAGATGATGGTGAGGATGTGGATTTTGGTTCCCTTTGCCCTTTATTGTTTTGAGGCCACTTTCATTTGTAAACCAGGAGATGAATTGCCAAAGCCTGACAATCCATCAGTGAAGAAGGTTGAAGAGAAGGGTGTTGTTGTTGTCTATCAAGTCAAGTGCAAACTCTATGTCAAGGTAAACTGTTACTTCCCCTTTACATTTCAACACTTGTTGAAATTACATTCTCCAAATACATCTATATTAGTTCCCAGTTACTGATAATCAGCCCCCATTGAGTGCATGATGATATTCTGTGTACATACACGTGGTCTATGAAAACTAACATCGAATTCTATCCTTGATGTGTTACCTTGGAATATATATGCTTGGCTGCATGATTAACAGCTTAAAACCAAGGGGTCGTTTGGATGAGGAATTGTAACAGATCAATTTGACACAAATGTCTCGTTTTGAGATAATTGTACCAAATTGCCTCGTTTGCCAACAAAAAATTTGGATGGATCAATCTGCCTGAGGTATTTTGAATTGATCCGTTTTGAGTCAATTTCAATTACCTGAGGTGGGGGCAGATAATTCGAATTGACTCGTTTTAATTGCCTCGTTTATAAAACGAGACAATTGATCAAATTGACTCATTTCTAGATTGATCCATCCAAACGACCCCTTGGTTTTCAGTAAATTGATCTTGCAGATAAAGACACATGGAAGGACAAAGGACCAGGGCAGCTTTCTATAAAATGCGCCGGGGGTGTCAACAAGGGGACGAAAGAATCAAACCCAACTCTTATCATTCGTAATGATGTATGGTTATGATAGTAATGCTAAACTATTTTGACAAATGTCTGAGTTAAAAATGAAATGCGGAGATTAAGCTGCGACTCATCTGACTGGCTCATCTTCTGCTTTGTACTATATGACGGTTGGGGAAAGTCCTGCTAAATGCTTTGTTGTACCTAGGGCTGCAAATGAGCCAAGCTACTCGCGAGCAACTCGAGGCTCGAATCGGGAAAAGCTCGTTCGAAACTCGATTCGTTTACTGACGAGCCAAGCTTGAGCTTAGCTTTGTTCAGCTCGTGAAGCTCGCGAGCTAGCTCGACTCGGTGGCTTGTTGAGCTCAACTCGTGAGTTGGCTCATTTAGAGCTCATGAGATGTCTCAACATTGTGGTTTTGAGGGCCAACTTGATCACTGACTTATGGACTAATCGATCTAATTTGGACTTTCATAATTTATAGGATTGTTAAAATATATATCTCACATCATGTGAAGTTTAACATGTTGAACATGTAAGAAAATATGCCTTATTTTTAATTCCATAAAGAAATTATGTACAAAATTGTTTGGATACTATGAAATAACATGATTTGAACTAGTTAAAATTTATTAACTAAACAATATGACACCTAAAAATTATAATATAAGATTAATTAATGTTGAACATTTGATTATTTTTTTATCGCTACATCAATCACATGTACCATACATGACATACAAAATGAATGTATTAAATACGATCTGAGAATTTAGTAAACAAGCCTAGCTCGAACTCGACTCGACTCGGCTCGTTAATAAATGGCTCGGGCTCGAGCTCAGCTCATTTGTTAACGAGTCAAGCTCAAGCTTGGGTAAAACTCGGCTCAGCTCGGCTCATTTGCAGCCCTAGCTTGTACCCAGGAATCAAGGGAAAAAATCCCAATTTACACATATTTTTAAAAAAAATTATCAAAATACAAAAGTTATGAAAATAATTCCCAATCTACGTTAGTTTGGGCCATCACCGCTGTCGACGAAGACAGTGATTGCATCACTGTTGTCGACGAAGACAGTGATTGCATCACCGCTGTCGACGAAGACAGTGATTGCATCACCGCTGTCGACGAAGACAGTGATTGCATCACCGCTGTCGACGAAAATCACTGTCTTCGTCGACAGCGGTGATGCAATCACTGTCTTCGTCGACAACAGTGATGCAATCACTGTCTTCGTCGACAGCGGTGATGGCCCAAACTAACGTAGATTGGGAATTATTTTCATAACGTGTGTATTTTGAGATTTTTTTTAAAAAACATGTGTAACTTGGGATTTTCCCGGAATCAAGACGAGTTTACAGAAGAATTCAGTGGTTGCCATATTTCATGTGGCGGTAAATATATACTCACTGTTCAGTTTGTCTGCTGCTAGATCTTATACTTGTTATCTCTTTCTTTTTGGTAGAATCTTGTTATCTATCTTCCAATGCCAACTTTACAACATTTGACTCCGCAATTTTCGCAGGCTGATGATTCTGGCAGCAACGACAGTGTTGTGGCAAGGACATTCTCGATCCGAACAAAAACAGAGGATGATCGGGACAAACTAGCAACAGTAATCCAGGAATACGCACCTGAATCATGAATGTAGCAGTGTGTACATCATCACCATGATCTCTTCTTTGGCTATTAAGTTTTCGCAGTTTTGCAGTGGATTGTGCTTGTTAAAGAGGGAGAATAGGAAAGGAAAGAACCTCAAGAATAATAAGGGTCAGTTAATTTAAATTATTTTCTCTGTACTTTTTTGCTCATTTGAAACCTCATGGAGATTAGTTGTACTATGAACATGTACCATATGACGAATGATAAGAAAGGCTTTTGACCCTTCGGTTTCCTGGGTTGGTCACAAATCTTATTCAAACCTAGCTTAATCACTCTCTCTAACTCCGTCAGATTTTGTTAAATGTGTTAAGTTACCATTGTTAACAAGGCAGACATGTTGAGACCCGAGTCTGAGTGATATCACTCGTAAGAAAAGGAGTGGAGTTCTTGGATTGCAATTTGCATTCATTAAATACTAAATATCTCTTCTGACATCTTCACAAACTAAAAGAACGGAATACACACAAAGGATCTAGCAAAACATCAATCTATCTACTCCTTTGATACCGTTTATTGTTTCCAGTTTCCAAGTCGGCATGAAATCCCAAAATGAACCAAAATAATCAAGTGAAAAGAATCGATGGATTGTTCAAAGACAAAGTTATGTTTCTACCCTTCAGACTAGGGGTCTTTTCTCTTCATCATCTTCTTGTTCGTCACCTTTTCCTACACCCGAATTGGTTTCCTCACGGAACTCCAATTGCTTGCGTGTAATCATCTTTGGAGGAAGTTTGGGATCTGGCATCATCTTCAACATGATTCCCATGGCGATCAGTAGCAATCCAGAGCCATGCTGCTCGGTCAATGGCTTTGTGAATATCAAGTACGATAGCAACAAAGTGACTGCCTTCCTAGCAGTTGTTATCTGCAAAGATCGGTCGATAGACATAAAATCACATAATCAGAACTCCTAACATTTTCTGCAAAATATAAAGATCAGAAACCAGAGAAAAAAGTGTATATACCATGGCAGTAGTTGCGGCTCCGAAGATAGCAACAAGAGACAGAACCGAAACTTGACCGACAAATGTAGCCAAAGCCTCGAAGATCAACACGCCGTACACATAGGGATGCTGCAGTCAATATTTGGCAAACTGTATAAATGGGTGGTAGATCATTGAAAACGGTGGCATTCTATCCTGTTTTGTTTTTCTTGCCAAATGATGGATTTTGAGGACAATCCCTCCTTAGATGGACTCTGTGCCACAATTCATCATCCAAATGACTCAAGACCCTAAACTCCAAGAGGCATAATACAATAGGATGGTCATAGTTTATCTAAAGGAGGCTTACTTTAGGGCCCACTATTATATTATAGTGCCACTACATTATTAGATTAAAGTTGCAGGCCATACTGAGTAATTAATTATGCCAAGGGAAGTTCAAATGAGAGGGAATGAATATGCTAAGTAAATTCAGTACTTAATCATGGCCAGCACATCATAGGTCGTGGAACCCATACACCAGAATATTTGGAAAGCAAGCAAGCAAGCAATAAGAAATAGCATGTAGCCATGGTTCTTACTTGAGCACAAGATTTCCAGGCAATGAATAGCTCTCCGGTAAGGATCATTGGTGGAAGAAGGAAAGGAAGTCCAACGACAGTTGAGCAGAATAGCACCTCAATCTGCCCAAAACCAAGATGAAAAAATATTTATCACTTCAATTTTTCTGGCAACGAATTCAGAATAATATCCAAACTGAAATCAGTGTGTAATAAGTTACCTGAGTAGTGTCTGGGTTCATGGTAAAAATCGCTTCCTGCAGATTACCCATAAGGGAATCCAAAACTAGAGCACCACAAATCATTACAACGCCAATAACGCTAAAATTTGGAGAAGTATGAGCATCGGCTAGAGTGAAAAGGATGAGACCAATAACTAGAAGGAAAGCAGAGACATATTCATGAAGCGGGTATTTCCTTCTCAATCCAGGAATGAAAGCACCCATTACCATGACTGGAAGAACCTAAGATTTGTTTATACACCAAACACCAGTTTGTAATTAATCACAGAGATCGAATATTTTTTTTATAATGGTCACACAGATCGAATATTATTATAGATTAGAATCACAACACATGAAACAATCTTCTCACCTTGGTAGATTTGAACATGATCTGTGCAGGGTAGTTGAGGAAAGCCAGGGAGCCTTTGGTCAATCCATGTGAACCCATAAGAACAGCAGAGAGTTTGACATAAGTCTTCCACGGGTTCACCATTTGCTTTGGGGTGAAACCCTGCAAGTATATGAGGGCCAAGTACACAAATCCTTGGACAAACGTGAAGTACCAACCATAGCTGAAAATCACAGAAGGCAGTAAAATTTTTGCATCAGAATTACATAAAGACAACAAGCCATAACATTAGAAGTTTTGCAGTAAGGTTTTCACCTGAACTGCAGTCGATTGTACACATATTCCTGAAAATTTAACAGCAGAGGTGTAAATTTCTAAGAGTTATCCAGTAGGCCCAAAATGTTCTGTCCGGTATCAATGCTAAAGATAAGGTTCCCCAGAGCAAAAATGCCAATGAAGCAGACAAAATTAAGCAGCAGCAACAAACGTTATACTTGTGAGTAATGAAAATGACCTATGGAGATGGGAACTTGATGCGTTTTTTTAATAATTTCTGCACTAGACATTCTCATCAATCAATCATCATTCCAAAACTCACAGACGGTCATCTAAGGAAAAAATACGGTGGCCTATCATTTGCTGCAAAAAGGCAAACAATGCACTAACAAACAAACAAATTCCCCAAACTTTCTCTCTTCTTTTCTTGCCTTTCTTAGGGACCAAACACACAGAGAATAGCAGGCAAATAGCATTGCTAACATCTTATGCAATATGGGAATTACAAACAGGAGAGCAGAAAGGAAATCAGTGATCATAACACTGATGCATGGCCAAACAATCAAACAAATCAAAACCCACCTGAAGAAACAAAGCAATAAAAGGAGTGGAGAAAAGAGAAAAAACGAACCTCACAAACGCCATTAACAAGGTAACCGAAGAAGAACCCAGAAGAACAAATAAGGAACTGCTTCCATTTCGGTTTGTCCGATAGGGAAATCCCAAACAGGGACCTCGATTGCTCCTCGCCCTTCATCCCCAAATTCACCTGACGAAAGAGCAAAATGGAAAACACAAGAATTGAAAGGAGCCCAACAAAATGAGTCGCCCTCTGGGTGTCTCTATGAATATATCTCGGGAACCCTTTGCTTGTATCAGCGGTGCATGGATATAACAGAATATGATTTCCCCTTTTGACTTGTTATTGGGAAAAAGGGGATATCAGGAATTGGGGAGGAAGGAAAGTATCGCAGCCGTCCAAGTGAAGAAGAAGTAGTTTGAGTGAAGCTGCCTGCGCACCACTCCTTCCCTTTCTCCTTCTCCGCGGCGTGCAAATTAATGTTATGTAGAAGGAATGAAGGAAGAAAAGGGACTAAGGGAGAGGTTTGTTGCGTATGTAAGCAAAGCAGGGAGCTGCCAGCGGGGTTGGGACTTAGCCCTTAGGTCACCCAATTTGCCTTCCCCATCTCCACGATCCCACCCTTAAACGCCAAAACGCGCTTTCTGTGAAATTCGTGGGGAGTTCGCGAATTAATTTCTAGGAGAACACGCTTTATTATTTGGCGAACGTGAATTGAATCTTGGAGCAGAAAAAGAAAAGCTGAGAAGCAATTAGGAAGCGATGAGTCAGGGACTATGGCCCTATGGGCTTCAACCTCTTTGGGAATCTCTGTCGTAGTTTTGGTCGAGAACCAGTCAACTTCGATAGTCCAAATCAAAGTAGGGGAAGGGAAAACGAAGTGTAAAATAAACAGAAATTGGAATGGTAGTGAAGCGCGATTCTTAGCTGCGGTAGAAGAGATGGAGAGAGAGGAAGCAAAGGACAACCATGGTGTCTCCAAAGCTCCAGACGAGGCTCGCCTCCAATGTCCTTGATTTCGGCAAATGAAAGATCTGGCTTAATCCAAATGACAACAATTATAAATTTGCATGGGCAACTCTCGCCAGAACATCAGGAAGCTTATCAAGAAATGGCGGTGGAAGGAGAACAGGGGAAGGGATAAGAATAGAGGAAGGAAAAGGGAAAAAGAATTAAAGATAAAAAGCTCTAACCTGCTAGGGTTAATTGGGTCTTCATTGTGCGTGTGTGTTTTGCAATAATTCACAAGAAAATCGCGGACTGAATTTTTACGGAGCGCGGATTTTCATTTTTAGAGCGCGACTTCTCAATTCATTGTTGAGAGCGCAATTTTCAGAACAACCACTATGAGGAGGATGTGGCCGAAGAAGTGAAGATCTACCGCAACAAAGGGAAAGAGTTGGTGGCCACTACCAAAGATGTTCCAGAGTAAAAACAGAGCAATTGAGAAGAGCATGCAACTACTGAAACTTCAATTGAACCAAATTTACTTTGTCGCAGTCTAGCTTGCAAAATCAAAGGAACCATGATATGGCATAAATCTAGAACAACTACCAGTGGAGAAGCAATCACAATCGTTAAAAGCATGTTCCTGGGCCGATCGTATTAGTTCAAGTTCAGACTAGGATAATCATATTTGGAACCAAAAATCACATTTAAAGTAAGGAGTCAAGATAACTAAGAGGAGAGGACCCCTGCCTCCCGGTGGCGTTAATCGACGGTTTGCAGATCGTTGCTGCTTCTTTATCCGTCAATCGTCGCCTGTTGGAGCCTCATCCGTCGTCAATTTACCTATCTAAAGCGAGATCTATGGGGGAAATATCTCACCTGCCGGTTGCATGTGAGAGATGAGTATATGAATTTATGGATCAAGAAAGGGAAAAAGCTTGAACTGGTTTTCTTCCTCTGCTTTGAAGTGGTACGGAGAAAGAAGAGGTTCAAAATAGAAAGGCGTTTATTGAGGATGTACATGGTGGTGGGTGGGGAAGAGAAATAAAATGACATTTTTTATTATAATAATTTTGATCCCCATTTTCAATTAAATTTTCATTATACTAACATCATAATAGTACTAACTAGTAAATCATTTTGATACCAAAAGCTACTCAATCATTTCACCTACTTTTCACTCTCGCTTGCATTTTACAAAATGTATTCTAAATATTCAATTTTGGTACAAATTTTAATAAAAAAATAATATAATAATGGCGCTTTTTCCACGCTCTCGATGTTGGATTATTCTAAAATAGACGATTTCACGCTCTCGCTCCAGGAATTGGTTACCTAAGTTGGGACTTGGGAAGGATGGGGGCGAAATGCGAATATGGACGCGTCAGGGTATTTTTGGGGAAGAAGAGTTTTTCTTTTCTTTTCTTTTCTCCTCTCCTCTCCTCTCCTCTCCTCTTCTCTTCTCGCGGCGGCCTTCTCGCAATTTCTCGGCCGCTCCCGAGAATTTTCTCCTCAAATGTATTTCTCTCTTTCTCTTTGACAAGCTTTCTAATGAGCTTCAAAAGCTTTGACCTAATTAATAAGACGAACGTTAGCTTTACTAATATTTCCAATCACATGTTGAAGCATGAAAGTGTTTGAAAGCAGAGCGAAACAGAAATCAACCTAAAACTCAGATATTGTTTGAATTTACAATATTTGTAGAGTGGTGATATAAATAAACGGAGGTGATGACAAATCATGATAAAATTATATTAGAATATTGTTTAACTTACCCATATATTGCAGTATTTTACGAAAAATAATTTTACATTTTTAAGAAGACAATTATGAATTGTTTATTTGGATGTGACCATTGAATGAATAAACGTGCCCCCTCCTAATTAGTGTGGTCCTCGTGTAAACTGAAATTATGTTTGTTCCCCTTAGTTGTTAGTATTGGAAATAAAATGAAATCATGAAAAATGTTACATTGTGATGTTGAAAATACTACTATTTGCCTGATCGACTACTACATTTACAATCAGCAAACACTAGTGGATCCTCAAGGTACCTGAATAACTAAAATTATTTAAATATTGAGAGAACTCTGCATCTTCCCGTCCATAATAATGAATCTCCAACTTGAGTTGCTATACCAATTTCACGTTGCTTCTACTTGACGAATTAAAAGTTCTGAAACATCTTTCCTTCTAAAGTAAGACTATATACCAACACCATGTTCCTTCAATGAGATTACTATCCACTGAATCTTGCTCAACAATACCACAAATTATTTTGACATGCTCGTCCCATCTTCTGGCCATGTCACACGTGGAAAAAGAGAGTTCGACATTGCATTACTAGTAAGAATACTTCAAATATAAAATGGAGTGCAACACGATGACTTTTGAAGAGGTCACCAATCTTAGTACTATTCTCACCCAAACACGTTTAACTTCAAAGTTCTTATTGTTTTATCTGTTTTTGACAAATCCATACGCCCTCTCTCGAGTCTCCCTCCCCCTCCCCCTCCCCCCTAATTGCCAATTCAAATCAACACTCCAATTTAAGTTCTCACCTTGGTGGATAATGATGTTCGAGATCCAAGTATTGGGTATCGGAGCCGTGGCAGCCACTCTCGGGAAAGCGTCTGCAAGAATCATTATACAAAAAAGAACACTTATAAAATAAGTGATTCGTATGGAACACTTAAATAAAAATGCATTTGTATTTTGTATACATTTAATTCATATTATCATTCTTGTATTATTGCCAACGTCATGTAACCTTTTTTCATTAGTTTGATTTGCCCTCATAAACATGAATTACTCTATCATGGTTTATCTGTTTATTGGATCAGCTAAAACTTGTTTCTAAAACAACTCTTGTTACATTTCACAAGAGTGGCTAAAATAATCCATAGTTAAGGACTTATTTATTGTTAACTTACCCAAAGTAGAGGGGCCAAAAGGAACATCAACCTAAAATGAAAGATATATTGTATTGTTTTCGCGAGATGATATTATCAAAAGAGATATTTGGGAGCTGGTGGTGGTGGCCGGTAGTGGAAGTCTCGCACCGACTTGGACTTTCTCTTGGCTCGCCACGTGCACTGTGGGGTGGGTGACTTGGCAAGCTGAGATTTGTTTTCCCAATTGGAAAGTTATTTACACTAGCTAGCTAGGTAGGTGGAATGTGAAATACCTCATTTCAAACACCTAAGAAAAATCATAGTCTTGAAATTTCCTTTCCCCCAATCTTACAAGGCTGTAAAAAGGTTAGACAGTAAATTACATCGCCACAAAAGAGTTCATGTGCAACGGACGAGGAAGGGCTTGTCTAGTGGTAATACCATTAGTTTAGAATCTGGAGGTTTCAGATTCGAATCCGTTAAGTAGTACCTACTAATAGAATATAATGAACTTATATCACCCTTATAAAAAAAACCACTAATACAATAATGAATAAAATGAACCTATATCACCCTTGTAAGAAAAACCCACTAATACAATAAAGTATTGCAAAATTCCTTGTAATTTTTTTAACTACCAAGACACAAAAATATCGAACAAAATGATGGTGCATTCCTCCATTACCACAACCGTTTTAATTTTGACGTAGAATCCAACTTTGTTTAAAGGAACATTGAGATGAGATTCACATTTGAATTGAGTTATGAGGGCGGGCATGTCGTGAATGGTTAAATCTTAAGAACATGATCAACTTCGTAATTTAAGCGCCAATGAAGCATATCTCTACTTTGGCTCGGCTATAGAATGGACCATATAGGAAAGTACAGAGAAAGATTTAGCTATTTTTTTTTATAAGAGTGATATAGGTTTCATTTGTTGTCATTAAGGTACTATTTAAGGGATTCAAACCTGGAACCTCAAAGTTTTAGGCTAGTGGTATTACCACTAGACCAAACCTTTGTTCGTGAGAAAGATTTAGCTATTCAGACAACGGTCATTAGTTATTTTAACAATTTTACAATGATAAAAAAAAAAGAACAGAAGGTTATCTCAGCTTACCCTTACACATATGTCCATATATACTCTTTTGGGATATGCAATTTGTATCTTTTTTTTATTATTATGTAATTTAGACGCCTCCAATTATCTGAAACAGTATTCATTGTATCACCTTATATTTAAACGAAAATCAGAAACCAACTGTAAAACATGATACTACTACTTCAATTTTCTCAAAACTCAATCTTTCAAGGTGAAAGAAAGTACAATCTACAAACATTAATAATCAATACAACTGATGTATCTTCTTACCCTCATGGTAGCTTTAGTCATTCTTTCCCACAGCTACAAACTTTTTTTTTAGACTAAAACTGCCCTGAAGAAAGATCCCCACACACCTATTCTTTTTTCTTTTTTAGGTAACCCAATAATACCTAATCACCATATAGCTAGATACTACTACTGAGAGTGTCTCCACACACCTCCTTATTAACTGTAATTATCGATCAACTTAAGAAAAACCACTAATACCATATAGTCTAATTAACAACCATAACTAGCTACTAGAGTTCAAGCACTTCATTAATCAGAGTGGTGAAGATCTCAAGCTCCAGCTCGAACCCTACCTCGTCTTTCTTCCCGTCACCAACATTCCTCCATTCTCCATCAACCTCCTCCATATGTTTAAGGTACAAACTTCTGCCCTCCTTCACTTCCCAACCGGCAAACATTTCCTTCGGCTCCCCATTCATCCATTCCTCCACTGCCTCCAAGTCTTCCTCTGTTGATGATGATGATTTCTCCTCGAAGTAGTCCAGAAGCAGAAGCTCGGCTTTCGATATCAAGCCATAGTTAGTACTCTTCGATGATGTTCTTTCCTTGACAATGCTGAGCAACTCGTGGGGAGCTTTTGTGGTGATCATCACCGTCTCTTCTTCTACTTGTTCAACGGAGGTGCAAGGTCGAGAGTAAAGTGGTGGCAATTGATCAGGAGTTGACGATGATTCATTGTCCGACGAAGACGAGGAGTCTTCGGTGATCACGGTGGTGATTCGCTTCTGTAAGTCCAGCGGCTGAAGCTGAGCGAGGCAGTCGAACCTCCTGGTCTTGTTCATCACCTTCTTTTTGTTCCCTAGTATCAGTAAACAAAAATAACAAACATTGTTAGATTTCTGATTCAGACCACTTCCGTTAAGTCTGTCTATCTAAATGGCAATTGGGGAGGCTGGTTGGTGTACCTTCAACGCGAACAAGGGTTTGGCGATGA